GAGGAATGGGTAGGCAAACTGAACATTCCCTCATAATCAATAAAATATCACCGGGTCCGATGAAAAGCATGGGCGTGATGTAATTTTTCAGACGGCAGCTGACCTCAGGATATTTCTGGTCCTGTGGGTCCCAGTGGAGAAGACGTATGTAGGCCCGGTTGAGGACAGCAGTGGGGCTGAAAGGACTGCGGCTGTCAGGACCGGGAGAATCAGACTGTGGCTCACACGGCGACACCACCTCAGACGCTGCTGCCTGAAGCCAAGCAGTGGTATTGTCCAAAGAATCTGAAGAGAAGTGACAAATTATAAAATGATTAAGAATATACTAAAAAACTGAAACTACACAGATGAGACCGACTAAGTGAATCATGGCTACTGAGCGAGACAGAGCCATAGACTGTTCATTAAAGATGGATGTAGCCATGGTTATGTCACTGTGGTTTGTCAAGCCTCGAGCTGAGCGTTTTCACCATCCCCATTTTAGACTTTGTGACGATTGAGGCGGAGATCGACAGAGAAACTGAGCACTAACTCCATGCAACTTAAAGCATCCCCTGCTTTATCATCAATTTTTAAACTAATGAGACCATCATTTAAAAAAAATAAACATGCTCTCTTCAGTAGAAACTAGAAACTCATGTAGGGATTAGCTGTGAATTCATACTTGAGTTATTTTGCTAAAACTGCGTTTACCTTGTATGTGTTTGCATTTATTATTTACATATTTAAATATGCACCTTTAAAGCACAATAATTTGTTAAATTTACCTCTGTGGTTTTCCCCACACCTACCTTAGTCTAAGACTGTGGTGCTGTTAAAAAGTCAATCATCTCCATCCCACTTTGTTTTTTTATGAAGAGTAATCTATCAGCATATATTGACCTTTTATGTTACATTTGCAATTGACCTGGGACTATAACCTTGGAGTTAAGTCTGTGGAACTGGTGTCGGATGTGGTGGAGGACCTGGACCCAGTAAAAGGTGGTTTCTGGTTAGAGACGGCTGGTGAAAACCTGATTGCTGTGATGACTCTAGAACAGGGGTGTCCCAACACCAGGCCTCAGGGACCAGTGTCCTGCAGGTTTTAGATGTGTCATTGTTCCAACACATCTGATTTAAATGGCTAAATTACCTCCTTGACATGTCTTGAAGTTCTCCAGAGGGCTGGTAATGAACTAATAATTTGATTCAGGCGTGCTGACCCAGGTTGATATCTAAAACCTGCAGGACACCGGCCCTTGAGGCCTGGAGTTGGACACCCCTGCTCTAGAACATTTGATAAGAGTGTTGTACCTATGCATATAATATAAGGCTGGACTGCTAACTTATAAATAAACTAATGTCCATAAATGATTCTCTGGGTTTTGTACTCCTTGGCTACCATCGCTCTTTTTTTTTCTTTTGCTGCTCTTAAAAAGGACCCGTCTTGCCTTCTCCTTTTCCTCGACATGTCACTCGATGACACTGGGAATACGCTCCAGCCATCCCAACAAAGGCTTCACATGGGATTGCACCAGGTGTCTCTCCCAGGTGATAAAACTCTTTTGCTTAACTCATGATCTTGCTTACTATTTAGACTTTTCTGTCTTTAAACTACTCACCAGAGTAGTGAGAAAAAAATTGTTTGG